TTGTTAGCTGCCATGTGGGTGCTGGGATTCGAGCCTGGGTCTTCTGGAAGAACAACCAGTGTTCTTAACCACTGAGCCATCTCTCCAGCCCCATTAAATTTATTATTTTTAATTATATGTGTGTTTCTCTGCCTGTCTCTCTATCTCTGTCTCTCTTTGTCTCTCTGTCCCTCTCTCTCTCTCGGTATGTGCACATGTGTGCAGGTGTCTGTGAATGCCAGAGGCCTTGGATCCTCTGGAACTGGAGTTACAGGCAATTGTGAGCTGCCCCATGTGGGTGCTGGGAACTGAACTTGGGTCCTCTGCAAGAGCAGTACGTGCTCTTAAACCCTGAGCCATCTCTTCAGCCCCTTCTAGGCTATATTCTGGTGACTCCTAAGACGCTATCCCTGACTATGCCCTCAAGCTCCAGGCAAGTATTTCCAGCTGCCAGCTAGACATCTACACCTGAATGTCTTATAAAGAATCTTGATTTATTTAAACTGAACATGTTCTCTTTCCTCCCAAATGTGCTCCTCTTTTGTAATTCCAATCTTGATTGATGGTACTTAGTTATATAAGTCAGAAAGCCAGGGGTCATTTTCAATTCCCTCAAGTCTCCTCCACCTCCAAATAGTAACAATAGCTAATAGTTACTAAACACTTAAATTTGTTGACATATATTTTATTTCATTAAATTCTCATAGCAGTTGCAAAGGGAGATTTTAGCCTTATCATCTACATTTTATAAATGAGGAAAACTATTTGCATAATTTTCTCAAGGTTATACAGATAGGAAACAGAGATTTAAATCCAGTCAGCCTCAATTCATGGTCCACACATTTAATTAAGCCCTATACTATATTATCACCATACCTAATACAAATCCTATTTCATTTTTCTGTCACTCTCTCTCTCTTTTTGCGGGGGATCTTTTTGAGGCAATGTCTCCCTGTAGCCCCAGCTGGCCTGACATTCGCTATGTAGACTAGGCTGGCCTTGATCTCACAGAGATTCGCCTGGAGTGCTGGGACTAAAGGTGTGTGCCCCCATGCCTAGCTTCTAGCACTCTGTTTTCAAAGTTTTCTATTTAATTTTATTTATGTGTATGTGTGTGCATGCCTGCTTGTCTGTATGTGCACCACATATGTGCAGGTGCCTGAGGAGGCCAGAAGAGGATCTCAGAACCCTTGGAACTGGAGTTATAGACATTTGTGAGCTGCTGATGTGGGTGCTGAGAACCAAACCCAGGTACTCTGCAAGTGCAGCAGGTGCTCTTAACTGCTGAGTCATCTCTCCAGTCCCCCCATCGCTCTCTTATTTTCAGTTCTTTCATAATTAGTCGTATTCAGCTTAAATACATTTCCCCATATTACCTGCAAAATAATTTTCTAAAATGTATATCGGATCATAGCCTCTTTCCCTTCCCTTCCCTTCCCTTCCCTTCCCTCCCCTCCCCTCCCCTCCCCTCCCCTTTTGTTCTTTCATTTTATTTATTTTTTTGGTCTTAAGATCCTTCAGTGGCTCCCTATCACCTATCATAAAGTCAGAGACACTCTGCTTAACACAGAGGGATCACTCTCCTTTGCCCATCCCTAGCCATTCTACCTCTCAAAACATTTCCATTACACAATCTGAATTAGTGATAACTGCGTAAAAATACCACAGTGCTTCTTCTAACAATGGCTTGAATATGTCATTTCCTGTGCCAAAATTACCTTTCCCATTTCGACTACTATTTATCCTTTATGCGTTTTGTCAGTTATCTCAGCTGTTTCTTTCTAAAGGAAGTCTTCCCCAATTCCTTCAAATGTATTTTTGTTTTGTTTTGTTTTGTTTTGTTGGAACAATCCCTTGAACACATTGTGTAACAGAGGCTGGCCTTGAATTCCTGATCCCTCCACGTCCACCTCTCAACACATAGCAAGTTTGAAACCAGTGTGGGCTACATGGGACAATATCTCAAAACCAAACCAAAAGCAAACCAGTACCAAACATTTCTAATATTTCTAGCTGGGCATAGTGACTCAGACCAGTAATTCGAGAACTCAGGAGGCAGAGGCAGGAATACTGCTACAAGTTTGAGGCTAATTTGGCCTACTCAGCAAGTTCCCTGCTAACTAGGGTTACTTAGTGACACCCTGCCTATATATGTATTTTTTTCCTCTAGATGTTCTCATGTAGGCACGTATTATATTCCATCATGGGTAGCAAGCAAGCTCATGGCATTGCCAAGAAGTTCTGCAGAATACAGACTTATAGGCTATGAAATAAATGTCCTGAAACTTGTGTGAGAAATGAGCACACTTGGAATTAACATTGATGTGGTAACATGTGAAGAACAAAGATATACTCAATATTCCTGAAAAGCAGGAAGGAGAAATCTTTGTTTATACTTATTCTAGTTTGCTGCTCTCCTGGCACCATATGTAGTGCTTACTGAATGCTCAAGTGTGTGTAGCTTAAACTGAAACTATCAGTAGCACAAGTGGAGAGGTTGCAGTCTCCATTCTTGGCACTTTTGTCAGCACCCCACCCTCCAGAAACCATTCTTCTATTTTCATAGAAAACCCGGACTTATTCAGGTCACCAGGCTTTGGCCTATCACCGTAGGATCTTAGCATGTGGGGCAGTGCCCACTGCTGATTGATGCGCGGCAAGAGACAATTTCTTGGGTGGAGGAGCGGGGATTGGTGGAGCCTGCCAGCGGTGGATCGCGAGGTATTGGATACAGCGTATAGGAGATGCAGGTTCCGGGGCTGCCACCAAAAGCACCCGGAAGCCTGAATGCTACTTTCCCAGCACCGGAGGACCAGCAGTCAGCACCGCAGCAATTCAGAGTGCAGGGCCCGGAACCCCAGAGGGCGTGCGCATGTGCGCATGCGTATGCGCGTGCGCAGCGCGGCTGTTGGGTGGGTTGGTTGGTTATTTTGCAAGCGGGAGGGGCCCTGCGCGCTCTTGCCTCCGGCCTCTGTCCCCCACCCCCCCCCCTTCCCCGGTCCCAGTCTCTCCTTCGGAAAGATGTCGGACACGGCAGTGGCTGACACTAGGCGCCTTAACTCGAAGCCTCAGGACCTGACCGATGCTTACGGGCCGCCAAGTAACTTCCTGGAGATAGACATCTTTAATCCACAGACGGTGGGCGTGGGCCGCGCGCGCTTCACCACCTATGAGGTTCGCATGCGGGTGAGTCACGGGGTGAGGGAGACAGCTGAGGGAGGACGGCGCGGGGCGGGGGTGGAG